ATCAAAACCGTGGCGCAGCCGTAATGTACCGTAGTCGGGAGTCAGTGGATTCCTGGCGGTAGTTTCGGTTCCGGTTTGTACCTCAGATGAAGCGCACTGCACTTGTCTCATTCAGTACGGTCTGAATGGGAGCACAGCAGAGTAAAAGTCAGGTAGACTGTTAAAAAATGAATTCTCATTAAATAACAATGTTAATCTCATAACATGAAGAGTTTTTCTGGAAATGTTGGAGAACACGGATATGTGGGGGAGATTCTGAATGTGCAGAAAGTTTTGAACATGAACAGAAGACCTATAAAGCTGTTAAAGTCAGTTACTGAATTAAAATTAAATCATTTATTATTGAGGTAAAAAGTAGAGCTGCAACGATTAATCGATTGAAAGAAAATTAATCGACAGCTATTTTGATAATCGATTAATTGTTTCAGTCATTTTTAAAGCAAAAATGTTGAACATTTGCTTGTTTTGTCGTCTTAAATGCAAGAATTGCTGCTATTTTTGTCATTTATGACAGTAAATGAAGAGTCTTTGGGTTGTGGACCGTTGGTTGAACAAAAGAAGCAAATGTCACTGTGTGTGTTGGAAAATTTTCATAATTTTTCACAATTTCTTGACATTTCATAGACCAAACGACTAGTTGAGTAATCCTGAAAATAGTCGGCAGGTTAGTCCATAATGAAAATAATTGAACAGTTAACGTTTAACAGATAACTTTACAGTTTTGTTTTTAAGTCTTTTTGTTTGAATCGAGCAAAATATATATTATTTATTTTATCTATTTATTATGTCACCAACAACAATAGGATAATGTAATTACAGCTGACAGGAGCCTCCTCCATCACATGCCGACAAATCCTAAAATATGGAAAACAGACTGATAAGAGAGGAAGGACAGATATAAACACACACACTGGCTTAAAATTTTGTCACATCCACAAAGCATACACTCTCTCTCTCTCTCTCTGTCTCTCTCTCTGTCTCTCTCTGTGGACATGGTTATCACCGTCATTCTTATTGTCTTATGTCACTCGATGTCCTTGTCTCCAAGGGTGAGTGAAGCGATAAAGCCAGCGTGTCTGTTGTGTTTTAATAAGTTTTATCTGAAGACTCTTAACAGACAAACAACGTCAAAACTGAACAACCTGATGGGAGTGTTGAGTTTTCCACGTGGAGGTCATCAGGGCTCTTTTCAGCTACACATATCAACACCGTGTTGGTGCTTTAATTGTCCTCATTCAATTATTTGAATTGGTTGTTGTTGTTGTGGTAAAGGGAAGGTTCAACACACACTTTAATTGTTGATTGCACAGAAACATTGCCTCGCTCAAGGTTGCTTTGAGGTACACTATATGAAGTAAAACTATATAAATATTTGACACGGCTGCAACCTTAGGTGTGTCCTGTCTCTGTATCATGCATTTTGTCTGCTGTCCCCGTAAAGACAGAAGCATCTGGGGAAAGAAAAAAACATTATAATGGTATTAAATCACTTGGCCAACCTCTGGAAGGATAACATGATGTATAGTGGTTGTGGTTGCCAAAGTTTCTGGCTGATTAAAAACCTCAGGTTGCCGTACATCCTCAACACGTGTTTTGGTCACTGTGTGTATTTGCCAAGTCAACATCTTGCACTTTGCCATGGAGGCATCTGTGCAGGAATATACTGTCAGATGTTGGCATGTGTCAGCTTTGTCACATTTGGCGTTTAAATCGTTTTTTAACGGACATTCAGATTGAGCACAATGTGAATGTCTTGACTCACATTAGGTGTTCAAAGTATAAAACAGCCCATGACGGTAAAGATGTTGTAGCAAGCAAACAGCAGACATTGAGTCATTTAGACATTTATTCATGTAAATGCAAATGCTCCGTATTTGTATTGCGCCTTTCGACCACTCAAAACGCTTTTACATCTGCATTCACCATTCACACACATTCATTCACTGAGCCAAAGTGCTCAAACAGAAACTAACATTCACACACATTCATACGCATTCATTCATTCATTACTCAAGCATATTTATATATGCATATGTATAAATATGTATCTGTATATGTCAGAGGTAGCACGCCTCTGGAGCAACGAGGGGTTAAGTGTCTTCTTGTCTCTCACACAAAAGACATTTGTCTTATCCACTGCACCATCACCCCCTCCACCTCTTCCCCATATTTAAGAGATCCACTGTTAGGCAAGTGTTTGTCATATTCTGACCATGAAGAAAACCGTTTAAAACCACAATTAACCATCTGATTTCTTAAAAAAGCAAAAATCTGCCTTTTACCTTGAAATAAATAATGATTTGACGTTTGTCGTGATAATTATCGACATCGAACGGTGTAAAATATTTTATTGCCATAAAATTTTTGGCCGTATTGTCCAGCCCTTCTCTAAAGCCTTTCAATAGTGTAATTATTCACGAAAGGTTAAAACCAAGGGCAACTGGACTTGATTAAAGTTACTTGATGTTTCGACTCTCATCCAAGAAGCTTCTTCAGTTCTGACTGGCTGGTCAGGAGTCATTTAATGTCTTTGGGGTCGTTATTAAGGTGATGGATAACACTTGGTTCTTTCAAACCATATCCGTCCTCCTGGTCCATAATATGTACCTTATTGTCCTCAATGTATGTAAACTGCTGAGCCTAGACTTGAGGAGTTGGCCCTTCTGTGCTGAACCCTGCATTTCTGTAGTGGTTGTTCAGTTTCCCCAATATGACCCAGTTGGGTTTTAAAAAAAGGGATCTGGTGTTTGCTGAATGAATGAATGACTGGGAGTCAACTGAAGAAGCCTCTTGGATTAGAGGGCAAAACCTCTTCAAGTATCTTCAGGCAACTCCAGTTGCCCTTGATTGTAACCATCCTTGGATAACTGTGACCTGAATCTTCACAGACTACGCTAATTAATTTACTGTGTTTTCATCGCTGTCAATTTCACACACTTCAACTGCTTTCAGCCTTTACATTAAAGGACATTTGAGCAGAGTTTTATTCTTAAACCGACAGTTGAACTACTTTAAGGTTTTACACTCATGAACTGCTTTCAGCTCTTGCACCTCAACTGAAATTTCACCACTTTTATTGCTTACGCCAACTGACATTTCGGCTGCATTCATCTTTTACTAATCAACAGAGGATTTAACCGCTTTCATCTTTTACTCGTCAACTGACAATCCCACTGCTTTCATCTCTTAATCTAAACTAGTGCTTAATTTGCTTACACTTGAGCTGACACTTCCAGCTCAAATTATCGCTTGCACTTCAGTTTCAACTCTTTCCAGTGCTTCAACTTATACTTTAACATCACATAGCGCCGACACTTAAATGGATACTTATACTTTATTCAGGGCTTAGACTAAAGGACAACACACACATTACACGCATCAACTGATGTGACGCTCCTTCACTCATTACTGAATTTCAACTTCTTTCAGCATTTTGCTAACAAGTGGAACTTGTGCCATTAGTCTCACTGAAATAGTTGCAGCTTGACTGGTCTGTGCACTTAAGACTGGTACGTATTAGTCTACAGTAATGAGCTTTTCCCCGGTCTACTGTATGATAATTCTTTTAAAGTGTTGCAGTAACTGTCTGAATGTCTAATTCCATCTCTGCATCGTTCTCTGTGTAATTAGCTTCACCAGTGACTTTATGTAAAATAGTTGTGCCAAGTTTTAATTGATTAAAAGTCGGCGTGTTATTTCGAGGAAGAACAATGTAGATCCAATTAGCACTGTAACGTGTAAACATGAACACTAACTCCCATGGTGCACCAGGGTCTGCAGGCCTGTGTGTGTGTGTGATTCAGTGATCGCTCTCATTTCTTAATCATCACTTTCTGCTCCAGATGAGACTTTATGAGGGGACTAAATTGCCTTAAAGGGATTTCTTATTAAAGGGATTACACCCATGTAATCCCCTTAGTCCCAGTGGACCCCCAAAAAGCTGAACACACGCACACACACACACACTTGTATAGCACATAACCAGATTAGCGTGTGGAAATAAATATGCACAATGTGTTTGTTACCAATGAAAACACACGCGTTAAACCGTAGAGCACATCTGTCACATGATCCCGTTAAAAAAGGTGCACTTAATTGTGAGTGTACTGTATGTGTTCAGTACACAAAAAGTTAAAGTGTTTGTGTGTATTTATAACCTTGACATCATGAATCTGTGCATTGGTGTGTTGTGTGGGTGTAGTGTAACGCTGTGGTTTTGGCGCCGCTCTCTCGTCTCATCCTCAATTAACAAAGACAAATCCGCTTCTATCTCCACTAATGAGAGTCTTTAAGGTGAAGGGACTCTGTATTTATTTAATAAGAAGAAGAAGCTTATTTATCCATTTCCATGAGAAAAAAAAAAAAGACGCTGCTGATTCGCTGAGGGATGGATTAGAGGAGGAGGAGAAAGAACTGGAAAGAAAGGATGTGAACAAGCTGAATGGAGAACGTGAAAGAGACACGAGGAGCAGGACAAGCAGATTAATAGAGATGTATGGCGAAGAAACGGCGAAGAAGCAGGGCTTACAAAAGAGGAAAAGGAAGAAAGAGGACAGAGTAAACTTGGAGGAGGAGAAAAAAATTGATGAGGTAGAAGAAGAGGGAGGAGTAAGAAAAAGCAGTAAAAGAGAAAGAAATAGGGAGGAAGAAGAAATGGTAGACGGGAAGAGATGGAATAGGATGACACATTAGATGAGAAAGAGAGCCAAAAGAGAAGGATGAAGAGATGGAGGGAAATAGGAGAAGGAGAGCAGAAGAGTAAAAGGAATGAAAATGAAGGAGGAGGTTAAAGATGAGAAGGTTGTAAATGAGAAGGAATCTGAAGAGATTGGCTGGAGATGAGAGAGTAAAGAATAACATCACTTAACAATGCTGAGAACAGAAAAGCTACAAACACATGAATCTTCAGACAAACTAGGATGTTTTAACCATGATATGGCCGTACATGGTGTGAACAGTGACGTATTAGAAGATGAGCAACACTTTCTTTATTTCTGCAGGTGGAGCTGACTGGCAGCAGTGCGTTTGACTACATCCACCCTGGTGATCACGTGGAGATGGCAGAGCAGCTCGGCATGAAGCTTCCTCCCGGCAGAGGCATGTCTCTGTCCCAGGGAGCCGTCAACGAAGACGGGGCGTCCTCGGCTTCGTCGTCGTCTCACTCTGAGACGCCCGAACCAGGTAGGGTATGAGGGGAGGAGCCAAGATGGGAAGGGCGGGGGAAATTTGTCTTTGTCCCACAAGGCATCATGACCAAATATGGGGCCTACACTTGTCGATATCAAAACACAAGACATGAAAGAAAGGATAATGGATAGAGGGAGTTGTTTCTGTCATCACAATCCAGAGAGATGTTTTGTTTTTTGTCAGACTTTAAAAATGTAAAGGCGAGAAAGAACATATAAGATGGAAGAGGAAAACTAGGGGATAGGAAAAGGAGAAACAGGAGTAGAAAAGGACAGAAGAGAAAAGAGCAAGATGGAGGAGAAAAATCGTCTCAGGAAAGACTGAACTGTAAAAGTGGAAGAAGGGATGAAATAAAAGGTCAAGTGAAGGGATGATAGAAGGAGAAGGTCAGGAGGGAGTGAAGGAGGGGTAAGTAGAAGGTGATGCATGGATACATACTGTATACAGAATACAGAGGTCCATCGCTGGATGTACATTTGAATACCCACAAGGCTGAAATGTCGCTTGTTGCCCAGAGCCATACAGTCAGAAATACCTTTTATGATCCCTCTCACCTTTGAGCCGCACATCAAGGATATCACAAGAACTGCCTTCTTACAGCTGCGTAACGTAGCCAAAATAAAACAAAAGTATTTGGGTTTTCTTTCCAAGAGTTAGATGAGAAGATCGATATCACTCATGTCTGTCCGTTAAATAAGAAGCTAGCGGCTGATTAGCTTAGCTTAGCATAAAGACTGAAAGGAGCTAGTGCGCTTCAGAGCTGTTGGTTGGATTATCTGGTTTTTGTTTTTTTCCCCTCTTTCCAGTCTTTATGCTTAAGCTATGCTAGCAGCTTCATATATACTATATAGGGTGACCATAAGTCCTCTTTTTCCCCCCGCACATGTCGTCTTTTTGGGACCTATAAAATACATCCAGCTGGAATCTAAATTGCCCAAAATGTCGTGGATTCGGCTTTTGCTTTCTACGCTCGGCGTCCCTCATGCGTGCCTCTTAATAACAACTCTGCTATAAACTGGGAAAGGACACATTCCTCATTGGAATTATTTGCTTTTGCCTTCTTCTATCCCTCCATCCTTTTATCCCGCCATCCTCTCCTGCACCACATGTTCAAGACTTTTCTACCTTCCAAATGGTTTTCATTGTGCTTCACTCTCTCTTTCTCTTTCTCATGCTGATGATAATTTAAGTATTAGGGGAAAATCCATTTATAAATTAAACAAAATGACTTGATATCCATCGAGTCCCTTAGTTCATCAGCCTGTTCAAACAAGGAGGGGAGATTGGCTTCGCGGCGGCCGGGGTCTTCGGAGACGGCGCGGTAATTAGATCTGCTGCGGATTTATTCTTGGCTGATTGGTGCTGGTGATGGGTGAGGTGGGGCTTTAAATTAATTGGAGTTCCAGATTTGAGGGTTTTGTTCGTTTTTTTTTCCCTCTTTTGACTTTCTGCAAACCTCTAACCGAGCCTCCCCATGCACCAAACTAGAGATGGAAAGGATGAGAGGACATATATGTAGTCGTCAATGTCAATTTGTCTGCAGAGAAAGAAAAGAAATGGAGAAGATCTAAAACATGGCTGGGTGTTTCCCAGTGCTAATTTGCCCCAAAGATGGAAAGATATGAAGACATTGAAGAAGAAAAAAGAGCGACAGGGTTTCATATGAAAGTCTCAGTGATTCCCAAAGTTAATTTGACCACAGAGAGAAAAAGAGCGAGAGAAAGGAGGAGGGGATGAGGACAAAAGTGTTTGTTCTCCCATGTTAATTTGTCTAGAGAGAGAGATGGAAAGAAAGAGAAAGAGAGGCAAGGGATGTAGGGACGTGTTTGAATGTGCATGAGTGCTTAGCATTGTTAATTTGTCCAAAGAAAGAGAGAGAGGGAGGGAAGGGAGGGAGAGGTTTCAGACGGACATGTATGAACTTGAAGGAGTGATCCCAAATGATAATGTGTCCAGAAGGATTAGGATTCATGTATGTGTTCTTTAATGTTAATTTGTCTGGAGGAAGAGAGAGGAGGAGGAGGAGGAGGAGGGGCCAGCAGGAGGTATGAATTTGTATGAGTGTTTCCCAGGAGGAGGTGGGGCTTATATCAGGTGTCCAGGGTAACAGGCCTGTTCATTTCTCTCACAGACGATGTGAGGTGAGTGTTTAAACTCTTGGAAGGACATGAAACTCTTTTGATTGAATCGTCAATACAATGAGATACTGGAGAACAACGGGTGTCTTGTTTTCCCCTGATCGCCTTTCCTTCGTATCCTCTGTTGTTCTCCGTACAGACTGAAAACAGCCCTGCATTGTTAAAAACGCAGGGGTCTGCGGCGTGTGCGGCGTGTCGTTTCAGGTGTGGGTGAAACTAACATTATGTCCAGGAAGTCCGCAACACTGCACAGCCGTGGAAAGGCAGTAATAATTTCACTTGCGAGGTAAACAGTAGAATTATGGCGTTATCTCCAACGTATGATTGCCTGTATTCGATTGGACAGCACAGTGACATGGTTTTGGGTTTTGGTTGTTTATTTGTCCCTCTTTGTCGTGTTTCTGCCATTTCACTCCCTGCCTCTGTGTTCTCAATCCTTGTCTTGGTGTTTTGTCAGTTGTTTAATTCTTTCTGTGATCCGTTTGATTTTGTTAAAATCATCCTTGTGCGTCTTTGTAAGTTTTACTTCCTGGTATATTTTGGAGTTGTCTGTTTGGTGTCTGGCTGTATTCGGAACCACCTACCGCATACTACTGGCAACCACATTATAACCAAATTACATTAAACATACGCTGCATTATTGGCTATTTGCCCTCATGTTGTGTTGAAGAAGACTTGAAACTAGCGACTGGGACCATGAACTCATTATGAAAGTGTTTACTGAGGTAATAAATCAGATGAGAAGTAGCAACATTCGATCGGGCCAGTGAGTTGCTAGTTCAACTGTCCCGACGTTGCTTTTTATTGGCCCCGGGCCATCGGCCACCGTTATTGTCGAGCCCTGCGTTCTTAACCTTTCTGGCAGCCCGACACCATTTTGAGGTTGAAAATATTTTGCTATTGCATTCACAACTATAGTCTGTTTAGTTATTTTTAAGTGGTTTTTTATTCAATTTTTTGTGTCTATAGTGGCATTCTCGCGACCCCCATGGGACCACGTCGCGACCCCCCAGGTTAAGAACCACTGATTTAGAGTAATGAAAATAATAAAGCAATAAGAGTCCCCTTTAAAACTACTTCTGTTTATTTTTTATTTTTTATTTAAAGTGCTTCTAAGTTTCAGTAGCCTGTCAATAATGAGCCAGATATCTCTTGATTCGATTTGATTACATCAACGTCAACGGCGGTCTGAGTGGAGCTGACGTTATGCCTCATCAGTACGTACTACTAGTGGAGTAGGCGGTTTTGAATACAGCCTTTGTTTGGCTTCGTTTCCTGTTCAGTCTGATTATGTGTCACACCTGTGTTCACTTACCCTGCCCCTTTGTTTCTCTATATAGGTTTGCTTGTTCCCTTAGTTCTTGTCGGTTTGTGATATTCATGTTGTCTAGTGTGTCCCGTGTTTTCGGACTACCCTGTGATATTGTGAATGTGGTATTTTGGTTCCCCCCCTGCTCTGTTCTTTTTGTACTAATGCTTTTCGTTTAATTTTGGATTTTGCCTTTTGGATTGGCCACTTTGCTATGATTGTAACTCATCGTTCAGTAATAAATGCTGAGAAACAGTTCCTGCTCTGCCAAAGTGTCTGCATCCGGGCCCAAATACCTGCTTCTTGTTTCTGAGCTTTACAGCTTCCTGTAACACACAGCAACATGTCAGATGACGCTGCATTGTGTTGCTGCACACGTTGAACCAGGTGAAACTGGGCAAATCTGATCTGTGGTCTTTTGCAGGAACTTTCTGCATTGGCATCCCTGCTGCATCAACACAGCGGGCCCATTTAAATAAATTAGGAAAATGCACAGGCCTATGCGTAAAGTTTAGAGTTTTAAATTTCCCCAATGGTTACACCAGTGAACTATACAAAAGGACAATTTTTGAAATTATTATAAACCCATGGCTGTATGCTGGGTTTTGTTTGTTAGTTTATCTGTGGTTTTTGAACATTAAATTCACGGCATCCTCCACTCCAGACGATGAGTAATGCATTTCCACAGGCGCCTTCGTCATTAGTTTTCATTCCAGTCGATACCTGGCGAACACCACGCCTGCTAACGTGTCGGGCTGAGCTTTTCCATTTGTTTACATCGCCTTTTCCTCCTCCTCCTCCTCCACCTTTGTCTCTTCCTCCTTGAAGCGTCTTCGTTTCTTTCGTCCTCCCTCACCAGTATTCCTCTGTTCATCACCTGCCTCTTCCTGCGAGCACAGGGGAGTATCCGATCGATCACTGCTGACTTTGTTTCTCTGTGAAGTTTCACACTCCGGGCAGTACTTCATCCTTCCATATGCTAATGCTTTGTACTGGGGCGGTTTTACGGCTGGCTGTTTGTGTTTTTCTAACTTTATCAGGAGGTCATATAGTCATTTACTGGAATGGATTGCATATATATATATCTATCTATCATATTGTATTATTACCAGTACAATCAATTTAACTAATTTAAAGGGGACTATAAATTGTTGATATGTGATTTTACTTGTTGACCGAGTTCTAGAAATATGGAACAAAAGAGAAGTTAGCCGTGCAGAAGTTAGCAGTGGAGGTAACCATCTTAGTATAATGGATAAACGCTTCCATGTCAAAATAACAGGAGTTGTCTTTGTTCTTTCCGTTTTGCATGAGTGCCGCAAATGATATTCTAGCTTTTAGCCTCGGATGTAACTTGGATGTACCAGGCAGGGTGACATTAGCAGCTTTAGTTAGTGCAGAAATACAATTAAATCCGTGACTTTTGCTCTTGTGTTTTTGGTTTTGGAAACACGGCTAAACTTTTATATTGAGTATAACTCTTACTAGTTCCCCATGCACCCTAGTTCAGCATGTTGAGAAATCCAAAGCTTGGCTGACCTGTTGCA